ATATAAGTGAATTTGAATAGAAGGTTTTGTTGTACTTGAGTATTATCACCTTTATACAAAATTCTTAGAGTTTGTTGTTCGAAATAGTCATAAATTTGTCCTTATTATAGTGCATCCTCCTCCTACTTAGTAGCAAACATGTGAATTGAATTATAATAGTGTTTATATTTTGGTATATAATGGTATATATTGGTATTATAATGGTATATAATGCCTTTTTTTATGTAACGACTTCTTTGTTGAAATAAAAGGTCGTTTAAATGTAAGGCTTGAAGTACAAGTTTATGGGATTATTCCAAAAAATATGCCTTCTAAAAATAAAGAATACGCAGTGTTTTTACATAAAAAATGTTTAAATTTACGTGAAGCAACGAAAGCGCTTTTTAGGAAAAAGCGCTGCTAAACGCCTACTTTAGAAAGTGCTTTTCCTAGAAAAGCGCTGCCTAAAGATGCCTTAAAAAATACATTAGACAGTTGTTGTACCCCAAAATTTGCCCTCTCATTTCTTAAAGGATCACCCTGGATCCCCAGTTTTTCTTCCATCTATTTCAAAGCCTTGAATTATCAATTTTCCAAGAAAGTCATTCACAAGGGAAAAATGCTCATTTGCATACTGAAAAGTCAAACCTTGACTTTTGGACCAAAATCAAGCCTCAAGAATTATATTTCATCAAGACATGTTGGAATGTGTGATTTGTTTCATAAAGATATTCAAAAGTCAATTTACTCTGGAAAAAGTCAAAATTCTAAAATACTTAGAATTTTTTTCTAAATGTTTAAGAAACCAGACAAGCTCAGAACTTCTGATTAGATTTTCACTCTGGTGGAAGTTGACTCTAGAGGAACTTCTGACACAAGAATTATAGACTCCCACAAGATCTAAAACATTGCAGAGCGAAACTTCTCATAGAAATGTTGGGATTCCAAGTTATAACTCCTTAAAGGTGCGTCCATGAAACTGAAACAACTCAGCAAATTATGGACACTCTCAAGACAGAGTTTGGTCAGAACTTCTGGGCCATATTTTACAAAGGTCCAGTCAGAGCTTGCAAGAGAAGTTTAAAGAAGGTTTACAAAGCGTGTTACAAACTTCCTGGAAAGTATGAGAACTCCTTCAGAACATGCTGGAGCCAAAAGATAAAAGGATCAGAAGATTGGATGTTACGTTGAAGCAGAACTTCTGATCCAGAATTAAGCAATGATGCAGAATTTCACATGGCAGGATTTCTGGTTTGATAAATCTCATCATCATTTAATACTCACTTAATGCTCACAACCACTTTTGAGTCTTTATCCAAAGGATTTCCCCCACGTGTACCTCTACTGCCTTGGGAAAGCAAACTTTTTATGCAAAAGGGTGCTAGGCCCATGTGTTGCTTTTGCTTTTCCTTAATTCCTGCTGACAAATCCAGCTTATGCGCTTCTAAACCTGCTAACCCTCCTACTTTGTGCCTTGAACCATGCTTGTTTAAGCTTACTTCAAGAGTAAGTCAGCGTCTAGCATATGACGTTGGTGCCACTTGACCTATCCAAACTACAAAACTTTTTCCTATAAATTGAACTCCATTGGCCATTGAAAAGGGTAGAAAAATTTGAGAAAGAAAAGCCTTGAACCCCTGCAAAAATTCCAAGAGTCCAAGAAACTGTAAACACAAAAATATAAAACCTGTTAGATTTTGATTCTTGTATTCAAACTCCATTTTTTCTCAAGTGTTTCTTGACCAAAACCACCCATACAATTTCTGATATAAATTCAAAAGCCATCCAAAATTCTGTAGTCAAACTGTCACACATTCTCCATCAACGTCCACCTCAAAAAGTCAGAACTTTATCCCTTGGTTGTTCCAGAATTTTCTAATCATTTACAGCCTAAGTTGAAAGTTTCCAGCCTGCTGAACACGTGAGGAAGTTGTACAGAACATCATAAGTTGTCAGAACCAGGTTCCAGCTCACAGAGTATTTTCTAGCTTCAAGGTAAGCTTCTTCTAACTCTCATCATATTACTTAGGCATTGTCAGATTTGCACGTTTAAAAATACAATGTAGACATTCTGACTCTGATGATGTACATATTCTGAGATTCCATGCATTTGCCTTCCTAAGTAGAGGGAATTCCAGTTCAGAGCTTCTTGAAGTAATTAGAACTTAGAATTAGGATTAGCAAACTCATGCTTACTTCTGATTTATAATTCTGATGTCTCTTGTTTCTGAAGCATTATGAAACCTGCCATAAACTGTTATATGCGTATTTTATGTTTTGTGGAGAAATGACTAAGTTGCAGATGTTCTGACTAGCATGGAGAGGGAGGCGAAGTTCTGTCAGTGGCATCAGAACTTCTGAAAACTTCTTTGTTCTCAGCGGATCCAGAACTTCTGACTTTCCCTATTTCTATTGACGTTGTTTCTGTTTGTGCAGCATGCCAGAGTCAGAACTTCTGACCTCTTCTTTTCAGCATTTGCGCTGATTCTGTCTTTCTTCTCTTTGTTATTTTTTCACCATCACTTTTATTTTTCATTAATCAAAATAAATTACCAAAAATATTTCATATTCACATATTATATTTTATTCCTTTCAATGAAAAAAGACCAAAAAAATATTTTCTTAAACAAAACTTATTTCTTTTCTTAAATAAATAAGCATTTTACATTTCTTGTACATTCTTATCCATTCAATGTGGTTGTAATAGTAACTTAGGATTTAATTTGCAATCCCCATTTATAAATATGTACACCCCATCCCCCTAATGATTGTAATAGCGTAACAACTTTACTTTTCCGCATTTTCATTGCTTTCATGTATTGTTAGTAATTAGGGTGTGTATGATAAGATAAAAACAACAAATAGACAACCCATAATCAAGACAAAAAAAAAGCATGAAATCAACGCACTTGCACACAAGCACCCCTAGGGTTATTCCACTTGTTGCCTTATAAAAATGGCCATGTTATGCATGTGAGATGTCTTAACACAAACAAAAATAAAAAAAATACAAGATCATAGTCCCTCGATGACGCTATCAAAGTTGCTTCTCGAAATGATCTTAGTCCCTAAATAAAAATGCTAAGTCATCTCACAACATTGCTATCATGGTTATACGATGACCCACACCCATCCCTTCACATCCAATGATGGGGATTCTTACCAAAACAATGGTAAGATAGCAACGTCTAAAGGAGGAGGAAAAGAACACCTAAGACCTTTTGAGCAGGTAGATTGCTCCTAGTTGCTTGTTCACTTTCAAACCCAAACATCCTTGCTATTTTCTAACAAACACAAACAACTTCAAAAACATTTTCAAAAGATTAACACTTTGTATACATTATTACGAACGAGAATCATTACTAAGTTTGCCTAAACGATGGCATCTTTACAAAATACTTTCAAAAACCACACAAGGCACAATTTTCAAACAAAAGCAAGTGATCTAGAAAGTAACTAAGAGCCCATGGAAAACCATGGATGAAAAGGGTGATAACACCTTCCCTTTTCATAATCTACCCCCCGAACTCAAGAAACAAGCTCAAAGGTCTTTCCTGTGCTTTTTCACCTTTCCTTTTGAATAAAAGAAAAGTCGGTGGCGACTCTTGCTAACTGTTGCACCCCAAAATTTGCCCTCCTAATCTCTTTTATTTGGCTTAGACCTTCACATTCACTCACATACATCCCATTAGGTCACTAACATAGCATGCATTGCATTTAAAAGTGCACCTGAGGTTCAAAAGATTAACAGCTATGAGTCTAGGGTTTAGGACTGATTTGAGGTGTATATGATTAAATAAGGTTGATTATTTTGTTTCTCCTTGGTGTATAAGATTGTGGAATTAGGGTTTTGGTTCATGATTCATTTTTTGACTTCTTCTCATCAAAGTTACAAGGCTATTAGGGTCCACCTCTCTATGTGCGAACAAAGATCGGAACTCTCTTCAGTTATCATACTCTGATAGGGGTTTTTCTTCAAGGATCCTCGATCATAAGTTGGGATTTTGCATAGTGATTTGCTTCAAAACAAGGCATGGGGTCTAAGATTTATTCGTAGGCATGGATTCACTTTGTTGTGCTATTGGTCATCAAATGGATATGGAAGTTTTGGTTTCCTGACATTCATGTAGCGCACCTCACAGTTGAGTGTTGTGGATCATCAGGAGAAAGCTGTTTCATTTGGTTAAGTGCTTTGCAAGAAAATATTGTGGATTCGATACAAAGATCATTTCGAAGTTAAGTTTAAGCTATTGGGATTTGTCATACATGGATCCGTTGGTGCAAACATAGAATGAAGTTTAATTGGGATTCAAGATTCCTGATTCATACAAAATTCATAAGCATTCAAGTTTCATTCGAGATTCATTCTATATTGCAAAATCAAGAAGAAAAATCTAAATGTCAAATGGGCATAAGATTCGAGGGTATCTCAAGAAGACTAGCATTTCTGTTTGAGCTTGTTAACATTCACTAGTATGAAGATCACGGATAAGGTTATCTTAAAGATTTTTTGCTATGGTTCAAGTCCCTTTCATCTTCATCTAAGGATGCTCCAAAGGTACTGTTTTGTGTTAAAATCATCAAGCAGAAATGTTTTTTTTTCCAAATCAAATATTTAAAGATTAAGTTTCCAAGGTCTTGGTTCATGCTGTGAAAGATGAAGTTACAATTCAAGTTAACATGGAAGGAAGAGTTGAATTAGGGGGTTTCATTGAGTTGAAGATGGTTCAAATTCGGTCAAAGTTTATATTGGTATTAAAAAATAAAAGATGCATTAACGTGCAAATTAAGCTACAATCAAAGTTCCAAATTCATTCAATTGAAACTCAACATTTTATTCACTCTCATGTTCGTGTTTACAATACTTTGCAAATGAAAATATCATTTCACCATAAATTACCAATACTCATTTGTCTAAATGCAAGCACAAAGTCTATTCAAGGTCCTTACAAAAAGTTCGTCCAAGAGAAAATTATAAAGGGATTACAATTGCAAAGTCAAATTCACTATGCAGTTTAAGAATGTGCTACAAAGAGATTACAAAGGATGTTAGCTTGCATATGTTGATCAAGAATCTAACTGTAACTATAATCCCTATTTTCCTAAGCCTGTTCAAATTATCTCTTCTCTCAGCTTCATGTTGCATTGGATTCCAAAATGCCTTCATGCCAAAGTTCGCTATCTTCATGTATTCTTCAATCTTCATGCCCCAAGTGAACCGACTTGTTGCATTCTTTAAACAATCACCTGCACACACAAAAAAACGCTCTGCTCACGGTGTCAAAAATTTTCACTCGCAACCTGCACTGAAACTGCAGACCATGAAATTGAAATTGAGCAATAAAGATATTACAAATTTTCACTGGCCTAGAGCACTGTGGTATCCCCATGATAATAAGGTGGCTGTTAAAGAACGAGGAAAATTACCAACAAAAAGATCCATGAAAATTATTATGAAAAGCTTGGGTGGCGAGGGGTGTAAACCGCACGTCAATGCTGAAGAAACTATCTTTTTTGTTAAAGAAAAGCTTCCAAAAATCTAGATTCCAAGGCATCAGAAGCAGTGAAAATGTTTTATTTGAGAGCTTGAAGATCACATGTCACTTATTGCACAAATGTTCAGCCAAACTCCTTGTTACGTCTTGTCCATACAAAGATACATCTATGGCCTTGGGGTATACAATTGCGGCAATCCTGAAAAGGAGCAACCAGGACCAGTTTCGGAAGCTGACTTTGCGGAAGCATGTGAATTTCCTGTCCCACCAGTTGAACCTGAGAATTTGCAGTCGTGCAAATCATCCAATAAACCAGTTCGTAATGAATAAAGTCCACACGATGCCCTGTTCACAACAAATACAAGAGAAATCAGTTCACTACTAGAAAACTGAATCTCCAAAACAATTAACAATTTCGCCCCATAAAGTTAAAAGAAACAGCAGATGTTCAAAATTAAACACAAAATAAAGGCCCTGCTAAACTTGCTGAATAACAAAACAGAAAACAAACTCTCTAACTGTCAACTAATTTCCATAACTAATTTCTCACAGATTTTTTTCAATCCCTAACAACCTCTAAACAAACTTTTCCATAACAGAACGCTAACAATTTTCTAACTGCCTCAACAAACTCTACAAGAAAATCTATATAACAGAATTAGCAGAATGCAGGAGGGGGATTTTTTTTCGGTCTCAGATCCACAATCATTTATTCACCATGAAAATCTCAGAGAGGATTCATTATGCAGAAAAAATAGAGAAAAGTTCAGAGAATACTCACTTCTGAATCTCTCTGAGATTTTCGGAGGAATCATCATTTTCATTTTCAACCTTCTTTATTATTGAATCTGGCTTCGAACTACTTGAATCTTATGCAACTTCTTTTCCTTGAAATTCCCTCTGCAACCTCTCTTCAATCTTCAATCACCAACTTCGTTCTTCTGCGAATCACCACAAATCTTCATCAACAATTCCCCATCAACCCCGCCCCTTCTTCATCACCTCAATTCACAATCACACACACACATCATTATTCAAAAACTCAATTCACAGATGCAGAGAAGAAAAAAATTCAGGATTCATGCACAAAGAAAAAGGGATGACAGAAGAAAATAAAACTCACCAAATTCTCTGTAATTTCAACATTCTTCATCATTATTCCTCAACCTTCAAGTAGAATCACCCTCACGATATTTTCGGCAACAACCATAACCTTCTTCTCAAACCTCTATAATCGCACATCCCTCCTCCATAACCGAATTTCATCATCTTCATCACTAGTCCTTTAGTGTTAAACTGCTCTACTATCGTGTTCACATCAACTCAACATCATCATCTTCTGCAATAAGCTTCTTCTACAGCTGCTCATCTTTGTACACCTCCAATCTCTGCATGATTCAGGCCACCGAATTTGCTTCAATAGCGTCACAAATCAACAAACAGCGCATCACAATCTCATCTTCAAGAATCGATAAACAAAGAACACATAGAGAAGTGAATCAAAGAAGAAGTACAAGAGGAATTCGAAATAAAAGGATAAAGAGGACGTACCTAAGCTATCGGAACCTCCCATCCGATTTTCTATTCAAATTACTCCAAACGGCTTTGCAAGTAAATCGTTGAAGATTCTATTGCGCCGTCTTCTTGTCATATCGTTAGGATATTGTGGAAAATCGAAGTTGACGGATGGAGCTTTGAGGCCGGAGATCACGATGAATCAACGGGTATCACATCGACACATTTGGCTCGTTCGTCGAGGACGATGGAAGTAGGTATGAAGTCAACGCTGATCTCTTCATTTAGCATTGAAGAAAGTTGAATCACGGTGGAATTTTGAGTCGCGTCGGAGATGATTGAAGCGGTGAACAGTGGCAGATTCGTCAAAAAAAGAGAAGAGAAGGTGGAGCTATGGCGGCGATCGGATTTCATCGATGAAGAAGGACAAGCAATGAGCGCTGCTGCATCTGAGATTGGAACAAGAGAGGGAGTCTTGTAGAAGATAAAGCGTCACTCCCCTTCTCTTAACCCTAAGTTTTTTTCACTTTTCTTTTAAATTTTCTTTTTTATATAATAATTGAAACAAATAAATAAAAGAGAATAAAGGCTGGGTATTATTGGATCATGTTGAGTGGATCGGATCACCTCCCTCCTAAGCCCATCAGATGTTTTTTTTTGAAGCCTGCAGAGATTAGAACAAAAAGATGCTTATTGGATTTTCTGGCAATAGGCCCAACATCATTTTTTTATTGATTTAGTTGTTTGTAAGTAAAAAAAAAAACTGGTTTGTAGATTCAACCTGATGGGCCCTAGCGCCCTGCTTATGCACACTTACTGCATTCCATTTGCACCCCCCTTAGGCCTCTTTTCCTTTTTTAGTTTATTTTTAACGATTTTAAATTTGTTTGAATTTTTTCTACATGATAAAAATGATATACAAAAAGAGTAGCATATTTTTAGAATTCTCTAGGACTTTTCTTTAGAATTTTATTAAAGCTTTCTATTATTTTATGTTTAACAATCGTTTTCATTATCATTTTTTTAGTTAAAATTTGGTGGCAGAATGTTGATATAACTTTCGCGATATGGAATGCTTGGAGGTTAATTTTTTTATTATTCATGCGGAGCAACTTCTGTAGAGTTTTCCTATCTCTAGCGTGGCTTCGAAGAGGCAACAGACCTTCTCCGTTCGGTATCATCGCAACCTCATTTTATTCCTCAATCTCGTACTTTATTGCTTTTCTAGAAATCAGGAGAAACAGGACTTTACTGCAAGCTATGCATGCTAACATTAGGTAGACGTTTCCCTTTTATTCATCCTTGACTTAGGTCTAACAACGCATGATAAAATTAGATTTAGAAATAGGCTAGTCTTCATGTTACTTTCTTCCCTCCTTTGCATATGCATTTAAAACAAAAACTTCTTTTTTACAAACTTCAAAAATACATAAAAATTTACTGACAAGAATCATGTCTTTGCTAAGTTTGGGAGATGATAAGCGGGTTTCTTCTCGATCTTATTATTCTCTTATTCTAAGGCTTGGCATGGTTCAAGTCTCAAAGAATCATTTCATGAATAAGTGGAGAAATGACTAAAATCTCTCCCTTGAGATTAACTAGTTATTCTCTACAAGCAAAAAACACCAACAAACATAAAATTCTTTTTTGCCTTCGGGCCTTCCTCCCAAATGTTTTTCAAAAGAGCATGTTAATTCACTTTTGTGCTGACGCGTAAGTCTCCAAAGGTCGAGTTGCGGCAGAAGGCAAAATTAATATCGTTCATTTAAAACACGAAACAATTCAAAACTTTTTTGTGCGCCTAGGCACATTTCCTCCGAACCTTTTCAAAAGAGCATGTTAATTTACTTCTATGTTGACGCATAAGTCTCCAAAGGTCGAGTTGCGGCACAAGGCGAAATTAATGTTGTTCATTAAAAAATACAAACCAACAAAAACATAAGCCGAACTACGGCTGCTCTGATTCCTTAAAAGGGATACGTAGGCATCGGGGTAGGGCCCGAACGAGCACAACTTTTATTTTCCCTACAGTTTCCCCCTTTCTTTCGCATGCATTCTCCCCTTAGCAATAATAAACAGTAAGCATAGATTAAACACACCCATAAGATAGATAACAAGAGTGGATACCGTAGAGTACTACGGGCGTGAGGGGTGCTAATACCTTCCCCTCGCGTAACAGACTCCCTTACCCTCACCTCTTGGTCGTTCGACCTTGATTTCACCCTTCTCAGGTTTTCTCGATGTTTACCTTTCCCTTCCTGTGGGATAAAAGACGTTCAATGGAGACTTCATTGTTTGATGATTTTCAGCCGGTTGTCTCACTAACCGCAACATTTTGCGATCAAAATGCAAAACAAAAAGTCAGTTCTCCCACCATATCATAGAACTGGCGACTCTGCTGGGGATATTATTTTAAAAGTGCGGTTACCTTAGGGTTAGATCACATTTACTTGTTTTCATTGTTTGATTTGTATGCTTTACATTATGGTTCTCTGTTTGGGCTTGCTTTGATCCTCCACCCGGATCTGGGACACCTTTTAGGTAAGTAGCAATAGATTGTGGAAACTGTACAGCATAGATCAATATGGTTGAAGAAATGGCTACGTTAGTGTGACGCATTTGTGGGTACCGGTATCCCTCGTGGTGAATCGAGGAGAATACGGGGCCGCTGAGTGGCATCATGAAGCACTAACTGACTTTAGAACCCTAATTGAACAAACTTGGCCATTAGGATGTAGTGAGATAACCGATTTCGGTGTAGAGCTGGAAATTTGTTGATACTCGATACTACACTCATTAAGGCTGGACTTTTGGGATATCTTAGCCACAAGAAAATATTGATTATGCTAAGACAACGCCTAAAAGAAAGGTTGGTGATATTGAGATCCTTTAGAATCCGATCACTATTACTAGGACAGGTTAAGCCAACTAAACTTCAAGAGGGTACTTACCTATAAAATCTCATGCAAGCCTAAAACATAGGAATTTGTTTACTTTGTGTGTATATACTTACTTGTACATAACATCATAAACATCATAAGCATCATACGCATACTCACTAACCATTTCAAGGATTTAGAAATTTATCTTTGTTTTTGTTTTGTAGGTCATGAATTCCAGCCGAAGAAACACCATCTGAATCAGCTTCGTAAAAGCACACCCTCAGCTTCAAGAGTTTGCCTCAAGAGTGCCCGGGGATTCTCCTTTTACCAAGATATATGGTCGACTCCTCAGTTTGGCTACATCTAACTTCCAAGAAGAGATGATGTGTGTGTTGTTCCAATTCTTTGATCTCGTGCATCATTGTTTCACTTTCCCAGACTATCAGTTGGTACCTACACTGGAAGAGTTCTCTCTACTATTAGGGGTGCCCGTGCTTGATTAGATACCGTTCACCGGTCTAGAAGGGATTCCAAAACCTGAAATCATCACCGAAGCTTTGCATCTGAAAAGAGCTGACGTCATAACCAATTGGGAGACAAGAAGCGGGGTCAAAGGTTTCCTAGCCAAGTTTCTATTGGAGAAGGCTCGTTCATTCTGGGATGACATAGATTTCCAAGCTTTTGAAGACGTCCTGGCTCTTCTCATTTATGGTTTGGTTCTGTTCCCTAACTCGGACCAATTCATAGATGTTAATGCCATCAAAGTATTTCTCTCTCGCAATCCCGTACCTACCTTATTTGGAGACATCTTGTATTGCCTTCATACCCGCACCATGAAGAAAAGAGGTACTCTCTTGTGTTGTATTCCCTTACTCGCCAAATGGTTCGCTTTACACCTACCTCAATCAGCATTGAAGAACGAGCAAAGACTAACATGGTCTCAAAGGATGATGTCCCTCACCCATTCTGACATCCGTTGGTGTTCAAGATCCTTGGAAGACGTCTCTATCATTGACTGTTGTGGAGAATTCCCTAACATCCCTTTGCTTGGTATTAGGGGAGGTATCACCTACAATCCATGCTTAGCTCTTCGACAGTTTAGGTAGGCCCGAAGAGACGACCCTCATGAGATGCTCATTCAAGGTCTGGGGTTCGACTATGACAAAGAAGATCAAGATTACAGCCAGAGGTTTACACGAGCTCGGAGAATGGTGAACAAGGTGGACGGTAAGACTTTGGGACACAAAAACTCTATCCCTCTCGAGCCTTACCTTAGGTAGGTACGGGCTCGTGCTCAGACACTTTGATGCCTTATCCTCCCATTTTACCATTCATTGTGGAGCCTGTGGTCGAAGGGGATGTTTCCTACACTATCCTCCATCCCGACATGCCTACTTATCATGAAGACTTACAAAAATATTAGATCCAGCTGAAGGAAGAACGAGATACTTTCGAGGCTCAGTTCTATGCCAACGAGAAGAGGGTCTTGGAGCTTACGAAACAGCTACAAGAAGAGCAGAATGTGAACGCTTATCTCGCGCCAAAAAGGATGCGTTCGGTCTTTTTATCCTAGAAAGATATTTTGTAAGCCCAATGGGCACAATGTAATCTTTCTTGTTTTGACTAATGAAAGTTAACGTTTGTTCATTCTTTTGTCTATACAAATTTAAATTTCATTAATCCTTGAAATCATTTGCATATACATATTCATGCATCATACCATGACAGGTTTTCGCATAACAGGTTTCCTTGTCTCTCCGCTGTTTATTTCAGCAAGATGGATCTAGAGAAAATTGTGACGGAACTCCAAGCCCAGAATTCTCAGTTTCAGGAAGCTTTACTAGCCCTAGCAGAGGGGCGGCAAGATATGATGGCTTTTCTAGCTGTCAAGAAGAAACCAAAGAAGAAAGCTTTACTCAACATGGGTAAAAGGTTCAAGGAGACAATCCGCTAAATTTCAGTAGAAGAAGATTCATCCGAAGAGGACGGGAACCAGATTGGTGAGGTCAAGAGTACTCAGGCTAAATGTGCTAATAATCAAGAATCTGATGATGATTATTTCAAGGAGCAGTATCCACCCGCTGACATCAAATACAAGCAGTTAGAAGACAGATTGAAAGCTGTTGAAATTCAAGCCGTCCCCGGTTTAGAAATCTTATGTACACAAGATACAGCCACACACTGCTGATAAGAAGCTATGGGTTCACTTTTTCCAAGAGAGCTTGGCTGGAAAATAACTTGATTGCTTTTATCAGTTAGATGGTTCTCGTATCAACACTTGGGAGGATCTAGCTACTGCCTTCTACCACCATTATCAATGCAATGCCGACTTGGCACCAACAAGGGTTCAGTTACAAGATATGACCATGGGAAAGAATGAAGGATTTAAGGAATATGCGCAAAAGTGGAGAGACCTTGCTAGTAGAGTCCAACCTTCCTTAACTGATAGGGAGCACATCGACATGTTCATGGGAACTTTATCTGGTCCTTTCTTTAATCTGTTGGTTGTCTGCTCTTCTTCTGGTTTCACCGAATTAATCTTAACTGGTGAAAGAGTTGAAAGTGGCATCAAAAATGGGAAGATATATGTGGCTTCTAC